TCATTATACTCTTATTGTATGCTTCATACAAGATGGAAGTATTTCTCCATACCTATGTCTCTGTCAAAAGTGAGAAAAGACATGATAAACAGAAAGGCCCTAAATTTGTTACAAAAAAATGGGAGAGAAAACATTTTTTTGTGGAAATGAAGACTATTCCCGTGCACTTAACAAGCAAGCACCTGTTCTCACTCATGCAAGCTACCCCCTGGCCCCATGGGCCTTTGATTTTGCAATCTCCGAGCTAGACCAAAGCCACTGGAGGCTTGAGAAGAAATAGGCAAGTCTGGCCTTCATCCTGGTTATTCAGGTAGATGAAAGTGCCAGGTGTCTGAGAGGATAGTGGGGGCCACCCTCTTTCTAACCAAAACAGTGAGAAATAGGAGAGCAAGAAATCGGCTGACTCTGGGTGACACCAAATTTGCCTTGTTTTCTAGAGACTTGTCATGGTGAAACCCAAACCCATGTGTGCTGTGGCGTCGACCTGCACACATTTCTAGTAACACACAGGACAAACAATGGATCCTTTCACAGACTTGTCTCCTTGAACCTGTCTCTTGCGGGACTAGTGTGTTGTTGGGTGCTTACCTTGCTAAGGAGTTCTGTCTCAGCATGGCTTCTCAACTTGGGACAGTCCCAGTTTATGGCGGCTACCCCTGCATCCCCGCTGGTTTGCATCACCTTTTAGTCTGAAAGTATCTCGGTTTGGATGGTCTGATCACCCTACTTGTAACCACCCCTTGTCTTTCATTTGTCTTTGTAACTCATAACAATGTCTAGCAATTTGTTTCTCTATTCTGGGTCCATAAGTAAACCAAGAGCAGAAACAGCTGTGGTTTATAAGCACTGTCTGGGGGACTGTTTCATGGGAACGTATCTCTGATTCTCTGATTGACCTCTAAATGGGATGGCTAAAGGAAAGGCTGATTTCCTCGGAAATTCCCTCAACCCTCCTCTGCGCACTTGCAAGCTGCAAAATATAGTAGAGGAAGGCCAAGAGCTACAATGCTGCCCATCTGCCTCCCACATTTTTCATATAGCATGGCACCCGAACTTCCTCTGACCCTCTCACGTCCCTCTTCCCTGTCTGTGTTCACAACGCAGCATAAGAGAGGCAGCGTCTTTAGCCCCTCCCAGCCCTACCTCATCCAGGTCTCAAGTGGCATTTTGGATAAAATAACCCAAAAATATACTTGGAAAGAAGACACTACCCAAAGATCCAACCTGAGCATGGTCTAGTAGATTCAAGGCAGTCACTGGCGGCCAGATGGCTCTCCTGCCCGTCTTGGCCTGGCTTACTTGGGTCCAACCCTGCGTTTCCCCCCAAGCTGCTAGAAATACCAAAACCTATCCCGTACCCCCTTACCGTTTTCATGTCTCTGTCGCTTGGAGTCTAGAGGAAGAGACAAAGTGGAGATGTATCTCCAGCGTGACTCAAGAATGAAGTTTATATTAAAATGGACAAAGCCAAACAAAATCAACCCAAACTCTTCTCTTACACTTGGCCTGAGAGGGTTGTGCTCTTAAAACGCATTGCTGGTCCCCACCCCCACAGTCCCTGATGCCGTATGGCTGGGGTGGAGCCTGAGAATTTCTGTTTCTAACAAGTTTGCAAAAGATGCCATACTGCTGGTCCTGAGACCCCACTTGGAGAACCACTGGCCATCAGAAAAGAGCTGATATTCTGCCAGTTCATACCTGTGGACTTTCCAGTTGTTTTCAGCAGGTGTCCATTCCCCTGGTGGGTGACTAAGTATTTTGAATATCTCACTTGCCTACAGGGGCCAGGTAATGAGCAGAAGTGAGCTGGAAAAAATGCATGGGCCTCTCAGTCTAGCTGGTCACCTTCCCACTTTTGATAGGTGTCAGAAATGTGTCTCTTTCCTCTTTGCTCTAGGAAAAGACACAGCTCAAGGAAATGAAAGCTAGGCTCCAGTGATTGGGGGAGGGGGTAGCAGGAATTAAATAGGAGAGAGTCTGCCCAGCCCCAGGGGTAGGAAAAAATTATGTAATTTTTATAATTATCATGTCATATGATATATGTCATATATGTGATATAGTTGTTTAATAAAACCACCACAAACCCAAAACTTTGTTTATATGTAGCAGAAAGAGATGAGGAAGAAAACCCCAAGTTTAATACTGTTTATTTCAGGGCAGGAATTAGAACAAGGTGTGTGTGTGTGTGTGTGTGTGTGTGTGTGTGTGTGTGTGTGTGTGTGAAGCGATCGTGCTTAACTTTTTCCGTCATTGCAATAATGTTGACATCTCAATGAACCTGTATGAACTTTCTAATAGAAAAACATCTACTGAAGTAGAAATTTAGAAAAGATTCTAGGTAGGAGTCAGGCAAGTCTGGTTTTGAATCCTGACTCTGCCACTTACTGTGTGACCTTGGGCAAGTGATACACCCTCTCTGAAAAGAAGACAGTCTCCAAAAAGCTCATCACGGCCTGTCCTTCAACTATAAAGTGGTTAAGAGTAGCACCTACTTACCACCTAGTTAGTATGAGGATTAAAAGCAGTATCTGCCTTATCATTAGCACAATGTCCGGAATTGTCTCAATATTTGCTTGCGATTACTATTGCCAAATAGTGTAATTTTAGTGTAGGCCCATTATAATGACCCCAAAATGTAGCATGGCTCCAACTCAGGCGTTTCCTTCTTGTGCTCATACCAGACCTGGGCAGGAACGGCAGGTTGGCAGGGCAGCCTCCTCCAGACTGAGGGGATGCTGCCCTCCTCAACGTGTGGCTTCCTGAGTTGTCTTTGGAGGGTAATGTGCTTGTGGGAGGTTGTTATAGGCCAGGCACTCACTTTCCAATGGGTAGGACTGAGTCCCGTGTTCTCACTCAACTGCAAGGGAGGCTGGGAAAGGGTTCTACCCGTGTCCAAGAATGGAAGCTAGAAGAGGAGACACATGGGCTTTGGCAAGAGCTAGTAGTCTCTGCCAGTGAGGCACATGTCAAGTGGTATCAGTGACATGAGATTCCCATCAATCACATGAACTCCCACTGCTCTGAATATGGTGATGGCCAAGTCCATCTGCCCAGCCCTGTCTCCCAGGCTCCATTCCCGACATCCATCTACCCACGCAGCTCTCACCTCGAGGCTCCCTAAGCGTGACCCCTCCCCTGCTCCTTGTCCATAGGCTCATCTTCTCAGTGAATGACTCCATCAGCCACAGAAACAGACATTTGGGGAATTCTCCTGGATGCTCTGGACACCTCTCACATCCAATCAACAGTTTATTATCCCTCCTGCCTCGTTTAGCCCCAATCCATCCTGTATAGTTAACACATCAATCTTATTATGGCCCTCCCCTGCTCAAGACTTTTCAGTGGCTCCCCAGGGCTGCCATGTTAAAGCCTAAACTCAGTGGCTTGGCACCTACAATATCCTCTCCAGGTTCATTTTACTCCCTAGGTTCCATTTTACAACAGCTGAAATACCTGTGATTTCCCAATCTTCCTGTGTGTTCCCAGACCTCTGAGCCTTTGCATATGATGTTCCTATAGGGTAGAACGTCCTCCTCTTGCTTATATGCACCAGGCATATTACTCACCCTTCAAGTCAGCACCAAGGCCACCTCCTCCATGAAGCCTACCAGGCAAAGGCTGAGGGACCCATTCCTCTGGCCACTTGCTGGCTCGTGGCTGCAGGCAAGGGCACTACCTTTTTATCTCTGTTCCAGCACTTAGCACCAGCTTTTGAACACAGTAGGCGCTCAGCAAATGTCTGACTAATCAGTCCCCCAACATCTGATGAGAGGAAGGTTCTAGAGTCCGAGTCCTGGACTAGCCACCTACCAGCAGTGTCATCTAGGTGAATACCTTAACCTCTCCATGTCTGTTGCCTCAGCTGAAACATCTCAATTCCTGCGGCATGGTGGTGTTGTGAGGATTAGATGAAGGTGAGAGCACCTCCCTGTCTCAAAGTAGGGGTCCCACACATTTGCTCACCCCAACTTTCAAAGCACCTCTATGTAACTGGCGGGAGAGGCGCCTATAAATACGACTTGGATCCTTGAGTGGCCGCCTCAAGGCTTCCACAAGGCAAAGGTACCTCCAGCCCAGGAGACACTGACAGGTCTGGGTTTACTCACCAGCTGTGGTTGTTGGGGGCTTGAGGACCTTCCTCTGTGCACCATGAGCCTTTGCTTCTTTCTCTATTTTTCTGTTTAGAAATATCTGATCCAGGCATAACTTGTTTCTTTGGAAGGTGCTCCCAGAAGGGGTCCAAACACTCTGACCCCTCCATTTCTGTCCTCCCATGCCGTCCATCTGAGCGGTTCCCCACACTCATCTGGACCGACCCAAGCAGACACAAGCCCTGGACACCTTGGTACAATTTTATTCAAACTCCAGACACCCAGGCTTGGCCTGGCACAGAGGATGTGTTCTTGCCAGTGACAAAAAGTGATACAGCACGTTCATTAATACTAACCATTTTAATTTAAATTAACAGCATTTCTGGAAGACAAATGCAGTTGATAGAAAATATAAAAACTTTTACTGTACAAATTTTACATCACATTCAAAAAAGCGAGTGTGTGCCTTGTGGCCACAGGGGATGCTGGGTTTGCACACTGATGAAATCCCGGCCAATGTTGTAGAATTGCTTAAGTTCCCTATTCGGCTTCACATTTACGTCTCCACCCAGACCCCAAATCTTGGGTCTTCGCCTGAGAACAACACAGGCTTCCAGGGCGTGGCACTCCCCTCTGTGATCACATGAAGGAAAGCCATGAGAAGGCAGAGGGGTTCCAGAGCCCTGCACACAGCTTGGATTTGGTGACACGGAGAGGTGGACTTTGCTACACACTGCTCACGAAGAACTGGGAACTTGCTGGGATTCAAGACCTCAGGTTGGATGGAGACCCAATGGCTGCGACTCTGGTGGCTAAAGGCAGCAGGGACACAGGCCCTAGTTTTGGAGGTGAGGCTGGGAATTGGGAGTCCCTGAAGTGCCAAAGCGTGGGCTCCACTCAGACCCCAGTGGGGACGTCTGCAGTCCCCAGAGCACTTGCCAAGGAGACCCTCCCGGCTTCTCCACCCCCTTCACAGTTGGCCATGAGGGCTGAATTCACAGTATCTGCCATCCTTCATGTGTTTCCGAGGCAGGCGGGGAGAGCACATGGAAGGGCAAGCATGTCTTCCTAACCTCATTCACAGTCACTTAAATAGGGAGAAGGGGACCACGCTGGGGATTTTCCTCAGGCGTGTCTCTTAACGACAGGCAGTGCAGAGGCTCAGGCCAAGAGCAGAAGGCTGCCCAGGGCCTTGGAGAAGGGGATATCCCCCAGTCCCTCAGCTCCACCCTTGGGGTTCCTGGCAGGTACCAGTTCCTTAAGGGCCGGGACTGCGACTGCTCCCATCGCGGGCCCCCCAGCACTTGCCCAAGACACAGTAGGTGCTCAATGAAAGCCTCTCAAACTGAACCACAAGTGTGACACTCATGAGAAAAAACAAGACCCAGACTGACTCTTGTGGGCTGAGAGGGCTGGAGAGGTGTTGAGCCTGACTTGCTCAGCAGCTGTCCAATCCCTGGGCTCACCAGCATGGCCATGGGTTTAGAGGGGAAAGGTTGATAGGCCCAAGACGCACACACTGTGACCTCTGGGAAGGCGGAGACCCGTGGGGAGGAGGTGAATTAGCTAAAGGAGGCAGTCACACACCATGTGGCTTTGGGTGGGGGTGATCACACAGAGGGCTGGCATGATGGGACGGAAGGGACAGTCCTACAGGGAAGACCATACGGAGCTGAGCCCAGCTGGTTTCCTGCTCCTCTGTCTTCCTCCCCACACCCCGACTGGGAAGGGGTAAGGGGCTCATGTCTGGAGTGCTGATGGGCAGCGGAGGCCCAGGTACCTTGCACTGCCTCACAGCTGTGTTCTCCAAGCAGGGGTCCACCAAGGGGCGCCTGGCCAGGAGAGGGGAAGGCAGCCCACAGCCTCTAGGCAGAGTGGGCCATTCCATATGACGTTTTAGGCCAGTCACCGGGGAGGGCTCCGAAGGCTGGGATCTTTGCGAGGTGGGTCTCAATGAAAGGGTGGGAGTACAATGTTGCCCCATTTTGGATTAGAACAGGGATACAAGTTCCGGGTCTGAATCCAACCACACTGCCACTCTCATCACCCTTGGTCATTTTTGGCTTTGGAGCCTAATGACCTAACTGTCCACTGAAGGGCTTCTTTGCCATGTGGCACTTTTCTCTTTCGGCAACAGCTTCCAGTGAAGAAAGGCAAGATGCTCTCACATCATGGACTTCCCCAAACCAAGTCCCTCCTTCTGGTCCAAATGGACACAAGCGAACAGCTTGACTTGGTGCTTGGGAAGGCTCTGAAGATTGGGGGGCTTGCTAGGTGGCTCTAAATGAAAGGGGGACACATTCCTCCCATCTTAGCTCTGAACATAGCCAGTGGAGGAACCAGGAGTGTGCTGAGGGCTTTCAACAAGACTGGGGGAGTGGAATAGGTGGGCGGTTCTAGAACCTCAGGATGACTGCCAATGGGCTTCTAAGGGGACAGATCACCCTGTGGCTGGGAGGGTGGGTTCAGGGACCCATTGCTGCTACCTCCTCCCCCCATCTTCCTTGTTCTCATGGATCAAGCCTTCATGGTACACACAGCTGCTGGGCCTTAGCTCTGGGGTCAAATGTGAGTCAGGGACTGGGATGTGTCTAAAAAGCCGAGGCCCTGCATCCCATCTCCTTGGTGGCTCCCTGGGGACCTCATAAAAGAAACATCTCTACAGACAGTGGAAACCCTGGTTGGAAACCACTGGATCAGTTCAGATGTTACTTGGATTTTACCTGTCTCTACGTCTCCAGCTGGTATGGGCTGGATGACAGGGGTCAGAGGTGAACCCAATACCTGGGAACTGCCGACCCTCATAATCCAAATCAGTTCCTAGCCAGGGTTTCCTCTGCAAAAGGAGGGACAGTGTCCTTTTGATAGGATGAGGGGAGACCCCTACAGAGAGAGATTCCCCACTGCTAGGGTTTGGGGTCAATGCAAAGGACAGGTGAAACCTTACGGTCCCCCTCCTCCCACAAGAATAGCCACAGTCATGATGCTTTTCTTCCTTCTGGCCCGGGGTGGAGTTCACCGCCTACAGGGGCCGCCAGAGGGAACGGCCACTTCCGCCATCCTGGCCACCGGCGCCTGCACGCCTCAGCGAAGCCCATTTTTATTATTACCTATTGTAAAACATTGCGTTCATTCCGCAGACACGTACATGTAAACATTTGCGGCCTGTCAGGGCAGGTCGGGTTGTTGGTGACGTCATCTTAAGAAGGGCAAGTGCGGCTCCATCTCTGGGACCCGAGAGGGTTTTCTTTTTCTTTTTTTTTTTTTTTTGTGGACAGTCTGAATCGAGGACTCACTCTCCTAGTTTTCAGCACTTAGGAGGGAGGCCGACGTTTCGAAGAGCGTTGCTTTGTGTTTGTGGTGGTGGTTTGGATGTTTTAGAAACACGTGTAAGAAAGAAATCAGCAGAATAACTGCACGGCTGGCTACATCTTTGGATTACTGGACTCCAGGACGCCCAAGCCAAACCTTTCAAACCGGGGTACAACTTTGCTGCTGTTAATGCTGCAAAGAGGAACAAAAACAAGGGTTATAGCCCCGCTGGTCTTGATCAGAATCAGGGTAACATTAGCTAAGGAGCGGGCCGGTTCCAGGAGCTCAGCACAGGACCCAGCCCACCAAGAAGTGAGAGTGACTGCATGGCTAACAGCCGTGCGTGGCAGAGCTGCTCCTGGTCATACCTGACGCAGGAGGGTGGCAGGGGGCAGCAGTGGCCTCGAAGCCTCGGCCACGCCCTCCTTCTGGAGGGCAGCGGCTTGTCCATCTCAGAATCCCCAGCACCCAGCATGCCCCGTAACTGCTGTGTGCTCCTTGGAACTGCTTTCTCATTTGCAGCCCAGGAAAGCTCTCGCTCCAAGTAGAATTGGGAGAAGAGAAATCTGACCCCCCCAGGACTGACAGGGACATCACATGCTCCTCTTAGAAATGGTCATCAAACACTGGGATGCCTCAGGGCCACCTGGGAAGCAGGTGGGAACATGAGTGCCCAGGGCCTGCCTCCAGAGGGGTGGCTTCAGGTGTTGGGAGGCCCAGGCATCTGCACTTGGTAACCAGGGCAGTGGCTCTGTGCGAGCCATCAGCCAAACCCTTGACAACTGCTGATTCAGGGTCTGGTACTTTCCGTCTGTACCCGGCAGATGTGAGTAACGTTGGTGGGGGAGGGGACCGGCTTTGTTTTCATTAGTGAAATTGTTTGGAGACAGACCCCCCCCCCCACCCCTTTTGCTTTAGGACGATATTCCTGGGTGTTCCAAAGTACACAGCTCTTCCAAGCTGGTGTCTTTCACAGCAATGGGACTTTTGGTGTCCACTACCACCAGCCCTCCAGAGGCGCCTGGCCCTGGGCAGCTCTGAAATCATCCCACTCCTTGTTGGAAAAGATCCCTGCGGGTTAACAGCCAAGCAAAACTCCTCCCCTGTACTTTGAACCTGGCCATTGGGAGGCCAATGTGGGGGGGGGAGAAAACAGATCTCTGAGCTGTTAGTAGGGAGACAGGACGACCCAAACAAAAAACGATATCACCCCGCAGAGGAAGAGCTTAGAAAGAATGAATTTGTATCCACGGAGGCAGTTCTTGCGGGGGGGAGTGGGGGGGGAGGATTTGTTAGGGGGCCTTCCATGGAGATCAGTTACTCAGGCACACACAGGCCATGGAGAGGGAGGGGGCCGGTTTTAAAAACAAACAAAGCAAAAGAAGTCTCAGGAGAGAAGACTGGAGCAGCACAGATGGCGTCCCCTGTTAGTGCCCGTATCTCAGTTTGCGTATGAGCAGAAGTCGCGGTGCTGAGTGCCGATTAGGAGTAAAGCCCCGGGCGCATGCGAGGCAGCCAGGCCTACAACCTACGGAAGGAAAGAGAAGAGGGGAGAGCAGTGTAAGAACCGAGCCCCACAAAGGCGGGGGAAGCGGCTGAGGCCTGGCCAGGTCAGGGGGCAAGGAACCCTCTTTCCCTGCAGAGAGAGACAGGGGCTCCCCTGCTCCATTCCAGGCTTGGCAGCAAAGCAAGCTTGGAAGGGAACCTGGCACAAAGAACCTTCCCCGAGCTCCCCCAGGGCCCAGTCCAGCCATGGGATTTTTTTTTATAGAGGTTGGCCAACGGGCCCACTGCCCCTCAGCCCTTGATGAGATCTCAAAACTGACTTCTTGGAGTTGACTATTTCTGTTCACTGCATTCCCTTAAATTCTGGCCAGAGAGCACCTTGGGGACTCGGACAACAATCCCAGTTCTCTCCCACCCAGGGACAAGCCATCCTCTGCCACGGTGTTTGGACAGAGGCCCTGCCACATGCGGTGGGTCTTCTCTTAGCCCACAAGAAAAATACAAGCCTGCAGGGCTTTGGCTGGTGACCGTGTCAGCTGCAAAAGCATCACGTTGGTTTATGAGAAAAAAAAAACACACACAAAGATGGGGCAGAAAGCAGGGTGTGCAGAGCGTTTAACTGCAAACAGGCAGAGGACGAGGGAAATAACAGAAGACACACTATTCTTCCAGAACTGGGCAGGAGTTCTTAAAGTCAGCATGGCCGTAACGTCCTTTCCCGTAGTAGCGGCTCCGCCAGCGACTGGGAATGCCCCGCGACCATTTCGCCAGGTGTGAGAGGAGCGCAGTCCAGCAGGTGATGGAGTTGGGCACCCAGCGCGGACAGGTAGAGGAGCCGTAGGAATCAGGATGGCGGGGAGAGGGGGAGGTGACACAGGACAGGCCAGCGCATCAGCCACCCCCCGAAAATAAAAAAGCACCAAGACCGATGGAAAAGAAAAGAGAAAATGAGAATTAGAGGCTGAGTGTGGAGAAGTAAAAATCATGAACAGGAAGCTTTGACAGACTCATTTGGGTATGCTGGCATTCTTTCTTTTACGGGGCTAAAACTGATCGTTTTGAGGCAGAAACAACCACCATCTGTAACTCTGTTTCCCACCTGTGAAGTAAGAAGGTGGGTGGCTAGGGTCTTAGGGAATCTGGAGTGACCTCCTGAATGCCAGCACCTGCCCAGTGCAGGCTTCTCTTTTGTAGATGAGAAAACCAGGGCATACACTGTTAAGAGTTGCCCGAGGTCTGACAAGCAAGACTTCTCGCAAGTCCAGGAGAACCCCAGGCTCCTGGTCTCTGCTGGGACAGCTCCCATTCAAAGCCTGGCTCCAATAACCCCTTTTCTGAAGACCCTTCCTCAGGCTCCCTGGGTGGGCAGAGAGGACCCTGTCTGTGCTCCCAGAGGCTGTGCTTTTTTCACGGCACTCAGCATGTTGCATCCATTCCCTCATTCATTCACTCACCCATCAAATGTTTACTGAGCAACTGCTATGTTCCTGGGACGGTGCTACGAGCTGGGAATACAGAAGTGACAAGACAGTGTATGTCTGCTTGTCTTTATTCCCAATTAGACTCTAAACTCCTTGCTGACCTTGGCCTTCTGACTCCCCAGGTGTGTAGCAGGTACTCAGCAATGGTTGGGTAAAACACACATCCTCTAACGGCAACATTCTGTTACCCTCTATTTGTATTGGACTCTGATCCATCTTAAGAACAAAATATCGAATCTAATATTGATTATAAAATAAAGTATTCCCTAATCACTAACTGTCATTCCTCCAGCCCCATCCCTGCAACTCGCCTAATCAGCAAAATTTACCGTATTTCTTCGAAGGTTCTCCTACTGGCGTCCTCTGGTCAGGCAACCCACTCTGGGCCTCCCCGCACCTGCAGCTTGAAGCTGGTTTGGTTTGTTTTTAAGACAGCAGCTGGCAAACTGTGTGTAAGCCAAATCCGACCACAAAAAGGTTCTGACTATTTTAGAGTTGTTTTTTTTTTTAAAAAAAAGAACATGTGACAGAGACCCTATGACCCACGAGCCTAAAATATTTACTATCTGGCCCTTTCTAGAATAAGAGGGGTGCTGTTGCCCCCACACCCCTTGGCAGAGATCCGGGTGCAGCTGTGGGGGCTCAGTGGTGCGACTGCAGGTGCCCCCCCTGCCATATGCATAGAACTGGTGTCTCAGGAACTACCTTGGATGTTGGGGGGCAGATAGGCTCTTACCCCACTCCATCAAGAGCTCTCCACTTTATCTGTTTATCTATTGGGGCTGAATGTGATTTCACTTTCAGAAAGCACCCTTCGCCTTAAGAAAAAGTTTAAAACCATTCATCTTGTCTAGGGGTCCAGCCACAAATGGCCCACCTTCTGTTTCTGCACCACCCACCAACTAAGAATGGTTTCTACCTTTCTAAATGGTTGGGAGGAGGGAAATAAAAAGAAGTATATTTCATGACATGTAACAATTACATGACATGCACGTTTCAGCATCCGTGAATAGTCTGACTGGAGCACAGCCAGCCTGCTCCCACACCAAGCAGCAGAGCGGAGCTGCTGGGACAGACACTGTATGTGGTGGTGTCATCGCTCCACACGGCTGCTGGGCGCACTACAACCCCAGTGACAGGAGCTGTAACTCGAATTTCCGTCTTAGCTCGCAAAGCCTAAAATATTTCCCATGTGGCCCTTCACAAGTTTGCATACCCCCAATCTTGCCAAACCCCCACTTTTTAAAGCTCTGGAAACGGAGGCCCGCAACAAGGAAGGACTTCCCCAGATTCTCACAAAGTGTTCGTGACAGGGCAAAGGTCTGTGTGTGTGTGTGTTCTGGCAGAGGCCAGAGGGACAGAGGAAAAAGGGAATGAGACAGAACTTAGAAGAGATGACAGTGGTTGCCACTGCCCAGTGGAGACCACCCCAGCACTAAGGGGTGCAAAGGGCTGTGTGATTACACAGAAGCAGGGTCGGGCTGCTAGCATCAAAGGGCCACATAAACCCAGGCCATGTGGCCCTCATAACAGGTGACTGATTTGGGGACTAGAAAGCTCTGTCTTGAGACTGCGACATTTTAAGCAATAGCCAGTCTGCTGATTTTGATGATGCGCCACAACCATGTTGCTCTGGCTTCGCCTGGCCCTATCTGGCCCTGTCCTAGGTAGAATCTTCTTATCTGGGCCTGGCCCAGGGCCCAGTGAAAGCGCTGTTCTGATAAGAGTGATATGGAGGCTTTCACAAAGGAGAGCTAGAGACGCCCATCTGTCAAAAAGTCTCTCTGAAGTAAACGTGGTGAATGAGATCCTGGTATCATTTAGGCGAGGGGACGAGTCACCTCTGGCTAATCTGCTTGATTCCCCAAAGTCTTGGGCACCCGGAGCAGACAGTGCCCTCTAAGACCCTGGGTGAGGCTGCAAAGACCTGGCTGGCAGGTCTGGCTCGCCATGGAGGTACTTACTCAGCAGACTTCCAGAAGTGCCCAGGGTGGGAGAGCCGCCGGTTCAGCTTGGGCAGCTTCTCCAGCATTTCCATCAGCAGGGTGAAGCTGGGCCTCTCCTGCAAGTCGAAAGCCCAGCAGGCAGACAGGATCTCCTGCAAGCAGAGCTGGCATTAGTGGGTGTGAGAGCTGGCTGGCAGGGAGGAGGGCACAGCTGGGGCGCTCTGCACAGGGTTCCTTCAACGCTTTCACGTACCCGCCAGCTGTGGTCACCTGAACATCCTGCTGACATTGGGATGACTGACCATGGCTGGAGTGGGGCTGAGAAATAACCGAATTTCACAAGAGCTCTAATGCATCCAGTTTAAAATGAAGCACATGAGCCTGCCTATCTCCCCTCCTTCCTTCTCAGACCTCTCTGGAATAACAGTAACACAGCTGAATAACTGGTAGTAGGAACAACATCAGAAATGGAGTCACTGAGTTTTAGGATGGGAAGTGGAAGGCAGTGTGTTGACAGGTGACATGTAAGATGCTCAGACTGTGTGCAGGGTGGGGCTGCAACAGAGATGGGAGCCTCAGCATTACGAGAATGGAGGCTGGGACTGACAAGAACTAAATACAGGGCAGCAGCTGAGAGTAGGCAGAACGGCGATCCTGGCGGCCCCCAGAGTAGCGCCCTCCTCACTTTGGCATTTTGCTGCCTACTCTCCAGACCCATGCGTGTGTACACAGCATACTCCGTCAGCGTTCTGGTTCAGGAGAACTACCTGTGAGCAACGAGGCCTGCACACAGGATCAGGCAGAGTGCTCACGGGACGGAGCAGAGAGGGAACGTCCACTTAAGATTCAGCAACTCAGATTTTTCTTTTTAAGTATCACTGGACCCCATGAGGTTGCCTGCCAGGTTAAGAAAACAAGAGGCCAAAGATAAATGGACCAAAGCGCTGACTGGAGGAAACGGGGGTGTGCACGTGTGTGCAAAGAAGCTACTCTCTCCATAAAAACAAGACCAGGGTACAATAACAAAGAAAGCAACAAAGTAAGGAAGTGCTTGTAATGAATGATGTAACTTCTGAAACAAAACATTAGGTAGAAGTACTAGAAAATAAAATCAAGGAAGCTCCCCAGATTGTGGACCCAATTTTAAGTAGGAATGGAAAAATATGAAAGAAGGTAAAAGACATGAAAACTCACGAAAAACGACCAAGTTTTGTCTAATGGAAGTTTCCACAAGAGAAAATGAAGAAACCATAAGGCAGGGAACTATGAGAACCATAATAAAGGAAAATGTCCCAGAAACTTTTGAGGGAAACAGGAATCTTCAGCTGCCAAGCCATATGAAAGGGACCTCACTGAAAAAAGAAAAACAAACAACAGCTGAACAAAGCAGGTTTGAACTGCACAGGTCCAGTTATACATGGAATTTTTCCCAATTGACTGCAATTCTACTAACCCACGCAGTTCAACCCACGCTGTTCAAAGTTCACTCCGTGGTTAGGAATCTGTGAATGCAGAGGACTGACTATAATTATATGAGGATTTTTGACTGTGCAGGAGGTTGGCACCCCTAACCCCCGGAGCTGTTCAAGGGTCAAAGGTGATAAGCCTATTCTCAGGCATATTCTTATGAAGTTTCACTATAACAAAGATAAAGAGAAGACCCTAGATGTTTCTAGAGTGAATAAAACAGGGCCTCTACAAAAGGTCGAGAATTAGGCCAATACCAGATTTCTCAACGATGCATTGGACACCTATTAGACAGCAGAGCAAAATCTTTATGTTCTGAGGGAAATTTGTTGTGAACGTAGAATTCTCTTTCTGGTGTGAGGACAAACTAAGGACCTTTTTAGGGATGCGAGGATTCCAAGATTATCTCCTATGAATCCATTGGGAGGTAGTTTCTTTAGGTTTCACTCTCATTTTGCTGGAGTGCAAATAAAGACACAGGAAGACACAAGATACATGAAATTGCGTAACTGACCCAGGAATGAATGAAAAGAAACAGGATGACAGCTCTGCAGCAGGCCTAAAATTCCACTGATTCAAATTATCAGAAGTCTCTGAAAAGAATGGAACAGATTCCACTCAATAGGCAGAATGTAGAAAGAGTTGCAAGACCTCAGGAATATGACAATGGTATTGTTTCTTCTTTCAATATGATAAAAATAAATAAATAAAGGCAATTAGAAACTAGAGGGAAAAACCCCCCAAAATTATGCAAGAAAGCCAAGGTCCAAAGGTGAAACCAACAAAACTGTGGTGAGCCTTTGAGTGACTGATGGAATGGAAACGATGGACCCACGAAGAAGAAAATGTGATCCCAATCAACTCCATAATTAGCAGCAGCTGATGGCAGTTACAGTCTATTACCATAGTGCACATACTGTTTATTGTCTTTTCACTTTTAGGCTCAGTCTTCAGGCACAGCCTGGCATATTTAATCATGGCAACACAAAATCAATCTATCCAATAAAAGAGGAAAGGGAAACCTGATGGACGTTGAGCACAGGAAGAGGCCAACGGGCAGGGAGTGAAGAGCTGATGGAATAAGAAGTTGGTCTTGTGGAGAGTGACCTGGGGTAAGGGACTGATGGTCTTCATGAAGAACCCGTCTGGCCTTTTGATGTCGTCCCATCCACGCTAACTCACTATGGCCGCCTCTGTACATAAAGCAGTGCCCGGTGGTGAACTCACAGCAATGGGGCTGAAGGAACAGAGAACACTGTCCCTCAGAGAGTCTCCCTTGCCGAAGACTCCCTGCTTTTGTCTATGAGTCAAAATGATTTTTTTATTGTCATTTCCCAACATCCACCCATCCTCTCCAACAGCAATGTGTTAAAAAGAGAAAAGACCTGGGCTGGCCGAATAGCTCGTTGGTTAAGAGTTGGCTTGGGAGAGCGAGCTCTGAGCAGCAGGGCCACCAGTTTGGATCCCACATGAGGGTCAGCAACGCTGCACCCTCTACAGCTAAGATGGTGAACAACAGCTTGATCTGGAGCTGGGCTGCCGTGAGTTGCCAGCGACGGCATAGGCTGCAATGGGCTGCCATGAGCTACCATGAGTGGCTGGCAGCCAGCGTGAGCGGCCGGCAGCTGGTATGAGCTGCCGTGAGCGGCCGTCCAATGGACGGCGACCGATCTGACTTAGCTGGGAAGAGCTCAATGATCACAATACCAACATGGGCCAGTGAAGCGACGTCCTCCACAACTAGACTGAAGAACAAAAGGACAGCAACTTGTCTGTTCCCCTTCCCTGATTCCCCAACGCTGTTCCCTTCCCCAATTCCCCAATAAAAATCTAAAAAAAGAGAGAGAAAAGACTGGACAGGAAAGGCAACTCCATGAGACAGACACTGGCTGCTGGGACATTTTTTGCTTTGTCCTCACTTCCTCATTCCTGTCCCTAATTTATTATTAAAAGGCTTCAAAGGACTCACAACCCTGTATTATAAGAAGTCCTTCTAATTAGATCAGAACTCTGGGTGTGCACTAGAACAGCCTGAGGAGCTTTATATATATATAAAAAAAAAGGGCCGGCCGAGTGGCTCAGTTGGTTAAGAGCTCGCTCAAGAGTTTGAGCTCTGAGCAACAGCGGTTCAAGTCCCGGCCCGAGCTGAGCAGCCGCTGAGCTGCCAACAGGTGGCAGGATGGCTCAGCTAAAAAAAATAAATAAATAAAAAATAACTATGACCTTAGCTCTAGCCCAGGCCGATGAATTTTCTCTGGTGGAGGCTGTATTTTTAAAAAGCTCCTGGATGATGCTGACTTGTGGCCAGCACTGAGGCCTGACTGCCTTGCTACTCGGATGGCCCTGTGCTCTGCACCAAGCCTTCGTCTCCTTGAAGACAGCACTTGATGCTCTATCCGCCAAGACTAAGTGTCCAGAAATGTAACTGAGATTGTTGCCAAGAGGGCGATTGACTAAGATTATTTTTTTCTTTCAGATCAAACAGACATACACACATACTCTGGTTTATACAAACAAGTCCTTAATAACTTTACTGTAAACGGTAGAATTGGAAATAACCTAAATGCCCAACAATAGAGAAGTTGTTACATTATGGTACAGTCATAGGACAGAAGGCTAGATGGACCTTAGAACAAGGACCTGTTGGTGATTTGAGATAATGAGCATGTCGTAAAATGCCAGGTGGAAGAAAAAAAAAAAAGATCACAATTTTAAAAATCAGCTATATGTTATGATTTTGATTTTGTTAAAGACATGTATTTAAACAATATTTAAAAAAAAATAAAAAAAGACTAGATGGCAGAGGCTACTGCTCCCTGAGTTGCCCAACTGGCAGGAGCTCAAACCCCACACGTTGAGCCCATCACAACCCTCCCAAGGGACCCAGGGCTGCACCATGGTGAAGGTGGCTCTGGCCCACGAGGCCAACAAGGACAAGCTCAAGCACTGGCGAGGCGCCCGTCACCCGCTCCCTTGCCGAAGGCCCCAGATGAAGTGGTGTCGGTTGGCCAAAGAAGAGCTTGGTGTTGGTGCTATAGGCTAGCAGTTTGGCGTCATACTTGGAGGAGCATACCTGTACAAATAGTCTGCACTTCAACCTGATGACATGTACCACTACAGAATAAAACACACCAATAAATGTCAGAAATGAGCCTTCTGAAACATGCCCCAGCTGCTGGCTACCAGTCAAAGGAGAAAAATATTATGATCTCCTAAAGATCTGGGAGGAAGGTGAGGTTGAATTAATCGCTCTACCTGTCCCGAGTTTGCAGGTGGTGACCCCGCCTAACTGTTCATGATGTTAAAGAGAAACTCACCGTCTTTAGATCTTAACCTGGACAGGCGCCAGGTGTCTCCTCTAGACACTTCCAAGGTTATGCCGCCCGGTACCTGCTGGAGTTACTTATTAACATCCAGGTGGGCACTTACTTGCTCTAGTCCTAGCTGACTCATGGTTATCACTGACTGCATTGTAAACACTGACCCCCGGGTTCCTTTATGTATTACTGTAGCAGGGTAAGGAAACTTGCCAACTGTAACGCAGAGAAACGGTTAAAGGTAGGCAGAAACATGAGGCCAGCAACTATATTATGGTTCGGTATTTTGAAAACAAATTTACTGTGGCAACTTCAATATTTGATCTTGAACAGCAGAGAAAAAAATTATGGAGAAAGATCTGACCCCGCAGTATAACCTCACCATTTGTACTTTGTACAGTGATGATTTTTTTATTATCCTTTTTCATGTAACATACTGGGCTTTACTATCTTCTCATCTCATAGTTCAATTAAAACCATTATCTCTATTTACTTCATTTTTTTTTTTTTACGAAAAAGTTGAACACTGTGGTAGTAAAGGACATGGGCCTTTTAGGCAGCAGCAGAGAGGCCTGCCTGGCACACATCTGCCTCCAGGTCCCACTTCTCAGGTGAGTGAATTGAAGGGCAGCCGTGTCACGTGCCCGGGCCTTGCCCGCTAGCCCTCCTTCCTTCTCCAACAACAGGTGGCTACTCACGGTGACTTCTTTCCCCAGGCTGATGGAGGCCAGAACTCGCTTCATTCCTTCTCCGCTTCCAATCTGCCAGATCAAGGCCTCTGCAGCTTGGTTCTTCAAGGGCCAGTCTCTCGCTTGCAGCTCATACCAAACAGTCCTGTGGAGACCATCCATGCAGCGTGAGCGCCTGGACCGCTCAGCCCAGCTGGCGCCCAGGGGTTCCTGCTACCACAATGCCAGGAGCCCAGCCAGAGGATCCAGAATCCTTCTCCAGCCTTCCTCACCCACCAGGCTTCAGGGAACGCCGTGACGAGGCCCTGGAGGCCCTCAAGGCTCGGTGGCCCTGCGCTCCCATTGGGGTGGACAGTCTAAACAGAGCTCCTGGCATAACTGTTAACCTCAGTGGGGCTGATGCCTACATCCAGGGACGTTTGAGGAGTAACAAACATGCCGAACCCGGTACCTAGCACACCTAGGTGCTCAGGATCCCCTGAGAGATTACAGGATGAGGGCCTCCCTCAGCTTTGCCAAGTCCCCTTGCCTTTCTTGGCTTATCCAGAGGGGGACCTTCTCTGTTAGACGTGCAATGTCCAGTGCAGAACCATTTGCCACGTGGCGCTCTTGAGCAATGGACACGTGGAGAGTGGAACTGAGGTGTGCTGTAGGTGCCAAATATACACCAGGTTTTGAAAACTCTGTAGGGTAAAATAGCTCCTTAATTTTTTATTTTGATTTCGTGTTGAAATGATAATATTTTGGATATATCGAGTTAAAGGAAATAGATTATTGAAACTAATTTCACCTGTTTTTCTTTTTTCATGTGGCCAAGAGAAAACTTTATATATTTGGCTCCCATAATATTTCTCTATTTCTATTTTTCTCTTGGTCAGCTTCATGGGGCACTAGAGGAGAGCTGGCAGGACGTCCCAGTTCTCCCCAAGGGACAGTGCTTAGCTCTGGCGAGTGGTCTCACGGGGCAATAGGTGAGACTGACACCAGAACTCACCGAACTTCATCCTCATGAAACAACCCTATTGGGGAGGTGCCAGTATTTTCCCATTTTACAGGTGGAGGGAAGGGAAGGTCAAGGATGTGGTCACTCCCTCGACAAGCAGCAGGGCCAGGACTCAAAGGAGGCCTCCCCCCGTCTCCCTATGGCCAGCAGGGCCCTCCCTTTGTGCCTCAGAGCCCCAGGCCTCCTCACCCAAATGCATAGACGTCAGCAGCTTTGGAGAACGGGAGGTGGTCCTCATCCTTCCCAGGGGTCATCTCGCGCACGACCTCAGGAGCCAGGTAGCACAGCCAGTCGTGTGACAGCTTCAGCTGGTTCTCACGCCTGCACGCCAGGAAGGCAGGGCAGAGACAGCAGGCCTTTCAGCCGGCAGCAGAGGCCTGTCTGGCACACATTTTGCTCCAGGGCCAGCCCACCCCCCCCACACGGCCCTGAGGAGCGGCAAAGGCACAGGTGCATGTAGGGAATGTTATAGAAGAGTGACAACCAGGTTTTTCTAGGAAAGCAAGCCAGAAAGGGGTGCTGGCGGGGAGCTGCACCTGGAGGTACCTGATTCTTTACCCTGGGAGAGTGGACTATGTCTCCATGCAGGAAATCAGATGTGCCTGTGCGTGTCACAGTCAGGCCTGGGGCTGGAGAGCCAGCCCTGCTACTACTCTCCTTCCTGGCGGGGGGTCTCTCAGATGCTTGGCGGGGCGCCTTTCTCTCCACCCCCACCCCTTTAAGACTTGGGGAAATAAAATCTGATGTTCTTCCTCATATTGGAGACTTGAACGCTAGTCCTCTGTCCGATGGGGTAAATATGAATGGGGGGGGGGCACCCAAACTTCATGGGGGTCAACCGAAGAATCAAGCAGTTGAGGGACCTAAACGTCACCTGAATCTGATTCTGGACCAGAACCATAAGGACAGGGCCAAAGCAAATTTGGCCTTTCCTACAGCGAGGGCTGCTCCTCAGCACGAGTGTCCAGGCCTCAGCTGGGCTCAGGCCCACCCAGCACCACCCACTTCCTCCCTGTTCTGTCCAGATGCCCAAGGCCAGCTCACCGTCCCTCTCGGACCACGCCTGAGATCCCGAACAGCCCAAAGTCCGTGATGACCACTTTGCCATTGTCGTAGAAGACATTCTTGGATTTGAGATCTTTGTGCACGATGCCCTTGGCGTGTAGATATCCCATGCCCTGGAAGATAGCGAGCCTCGTTATCAGTCAGGGGAAGGGCAGACGAGTGACAGCGACTCAGCGTCTACCTGGGCCAGGCCCTGAGCTGGGTGCCTTACCCAAATCCCCTCATTTACTCCTTGCAATCTTAGGCCGTGTAATTGTCTTCACTTTACAGATGAGGAGACCAAGTTCAGAGAGCGGAGGTCACCTGATCCAGGCCACACAGCATTTAAATAGCATTGCTGAGACCTGATTTCTGGCCAGTCTGTGCTCTTTTCATGCCACCGTGCTTTCCAACATCCACCCTGTACTTGGATAAGGTGTGAGGTGTGGAGAGGGGGGCGGGCAGGCAGCTGGAAGCATATAAAGCATGACACCATCTGTGTGAAGCCACAGATGAGTCGAATGATCTGGGGTCTCTACTGGGCTTTGACCAGCAGGCCTCTACCCTCAGGCAGGGCAGGGGCTCAGGGGCAGGAACAAAGAGGAATTCCCACAGAGGGAGTCCCCAAGTTCAGGAGGTCCCAATATCTGTGCTGTGATAGGAGTCCTTGGCTAAGGCTGAAACCTGAGGTCCAAGTTCCATCTCAGCTTAGATACTAATTCGCTGTGTGGCCTTGGACGTTTGGCTTCTCTGAGCCTCAGTTTCCTCATCTGTCAAGCAAAAGGGCAGAGGCCAGTGATTTCTAACCAACGCTCTCTATGGACTGAACATTGACTGGCCAGGCAGACAGGATGTGGGTGCCCTGACAGAGGCATGACCTCATCCAAGGTCAAAGCTGTTTTCTAACATCAAACCACAGAGTCTTGTGCACCCTGATGCCCTTGGGCACAGGGACAAGATGCCACGACTAAAATGCCCGTCCCTGACAGCTCAGAAAGAGGCACACGGAAATCTACTTCCCAATCTCCCACTTGAGGGAACGTCACACGCGAGAATCTCTCTGGCTTGAAAGTTATTTGGGGTGAGGAGTACAAAGGTCAACAAGCCACATTTAGCAAGTAGAAAGAATGAGTGTGAGGCAGAAACAGACGGAACTCAGTCGAGGCCAGAGCTCGGTTCGAGTGGGTCTGGAGAGTGGCAGCGAAGAATTTATACCAGACAGATGCTCTTCTGCAAAAAAAACCCCCCAAAAAACACAAAAAACCGAGAGGGCATGCGGTCAGTTGTGACCAATTCCCTCAGGCCTGCTGAGAGCTGTCATATTGTCACGGAGGCAGGGAGTTCCAGGAAAGTGTGACCTGCTCCTTCCCAAAACCCTGTCCTGAATGCAAATGATCCTTCTTAAACTATCTGCCCATTCCCCAAACCAAACCAAGTACACATGCCTTCCACAGTGGACAAAGAGAGCCAAAGGCCCCACCTTGTATTGAACAGGGACCAGCTGCGTGACAGAGGACAAGTCGTTGTACCTCTGTGAGCCTTGTTTATAAAATAGGTGCCACGGCCTCAAGAGGCCAGCTTAAGGAGACAAGATATAGCATCAGGATCTGAATATAAACTCTCCTCTCTCCTCATAACTTCACAGTATGTCCAGAGTGGCCCTCACACGGAAAACCCTCTAACCAAAGGTCCGTCCCCTATTATCATATTTTGAACCTCAAGACATCAGAAATGAGCACAAAAGGAAGTGGCTTGGAAGTTCCGAGCAGAAGGGGGGAGGGATAGTTTCTCAGCAGAATAAACAACAAAAACGCCAGCAGAGGCGGCTTCCGGCTCTGCAGCTCTGAAACCTTTGAGGAACTTTTCTCTTCTGCCCTGGAATCTTCCAGATGGCTCAGTGTTCGGACAATGAGAAAACCATTTGGCGGAGGAGAGCAGAGTGGGGAGCAGGGCCTAGCAAGTTTGGGGACAACAGGACGTAGGTGTGACATTCTGCAGCTCTCTCCAACTTCTCTGAAATGAGACAGACTCAATGACGGTATAAACGTGATATCTGGGTTTGGGGGGATTCGAAAGTTTAATTCGTTAGCTCAGTCACATGGAAATGTCACATGCAAATCTTGGTTTGGCCATAAAAGTCACCATGATTTGTATCTTTTCCTTTCAAAGGACATCCACACAAAATACACAGAAAGCAGGAGAGAGGGAGAAAAAAGGAAAAAACGGCAGAGCAAAGGCAGAAGAGAAAGGAGCAAGACAGGAAAGGGACATGAACATGGGGGGAGCTGCTAAGAGAAAGCTTTTCAACAAAAACAAGAAAAGAGGAACCCCTCTCCAGGCAGTAGTCTAGATCTTATCTGGGCCTGTTGCTAAATAAAGCAGCAAATAAGCTTTTCTTTCATTTTTATTGAACTATTTACTTTAAAAGGAGGAAGGAAAGACAAAGGCTGCCTGGGTTGGGCCTGAGGGCCTGTCGTGAAACTTTTACCCTTCCCCATATCAGACCAAGTGCTGGCCGTGTGTCCAGTGCTTTTCGTGGATCATCCTGTTACCCTTGCATCAATCCAATGAGGGAGGTTATGTAGGTATCCTCATTTTATACGGGAGGAAGCCAAGGCTCAGAATGACCTGCCCCAAGTCACACAGCTGGTATGGCCAGGATTCAAACTCAGGCCACCTGTCTCTAAAGCCTTGCGCTCCTCCCTGACCAATTCAATTCCATCCCTGCTGGCCGAGGCCAGCTGCCGGCTCCAATTTGATGACACATGGACAGAGGGGAGGAGGTGGGGTCCCATTCTTGAGGCATCTAAGTGAAGGGGAGACACAAAGCAGCCACCACCACCCTGACACCAGCAGACAGAGCAGGGAGATGTCCCTTTACCTTGATGATCTCCTGAGCAATCTGCCTGGTCTTGTTGATGTCCAGAGATGTCTTGGGGTCCCTCACAAATGAATGTAACGTCCGCCCTTTGCAGAAGCTGTCGAGAGTGGTGGGGTCAGGCAGAGGTCTGGGGCCAGTGCAGCCTGACCGCAGTCCCTGTGGAGCCCGGGAGGAGCCCTGGGGAAAGCTGTGCCCCCTGGCCTCTGGAGGGCTCTCTCGAACCCCTGGACTGTGGGTGCTAGAATCCTTGTTCTTAACCAAGCCTTCTACCCATTCCTCCTGGAGCCTGGCATGAATGTACAAAAACATAGTCGCATGTAGCCCGTTCCTGAGTCCCGGGGCCTGCCCATCCTAGAACAGGAAACCCAGTTCATCCAGGTTCCTGGTGATCCAAAGCAGCCCACCCTGGGCGGGTTCAACGCAGAAACACGCCCACTCGAATTCAGATGGGGAGGGATCGAGGCTTTTAGGGTTATGAATGGGGAACACTGGGGCTCTGGGGCTCACGGTAAGTTTCTGATCAAAGGGATTTTATTACAATAAAGGAGTGTGCGAGGAGGGGCAAGGAGCGGAAGGGGCTGTCAGAGGCGTCAGAGTGATGATCGGATAAGGGGCCTGTGTTTGGTGTCTCCATCTACATCGACCCCTAAAACCTGGGGTGAGGAAAGACCCAGAGAGAACATGTGGTTCACTCTCTAGCTCCAGGGAGAAGGTGACTGAAGCCACCTGAGGAAGGAGCTAGGTTTTAGGGAAACTTTCCAAGGAGATAAGATTCTAGGAGAATCAGAGACTTTGAAAATGGAGCGAGGGGTCTGCAAAATTGGCTGATGGTTCTTATCTGTGTTCTAGTACCTTCAGCATATTCTAACACGTTAAACTTTTGTTAATGAATGTTTTGTTATGTTATTATATGTATTCCCTTTAAGCAGATTCGGATCTTTTATGAACTGTGTGGGTGAGAGATGGAGGGATGGAGGGAGGGAGGGAGGGAGGGAGGGAAGGAGAGAGGGATCGACGGACTGATGGACAGCGCTGTGGGTGGGATGTGGGGGTTGTGAAGCTGACTCTCTAAAGCAGCGGTTCTCAACCTGTGGGTGGCGACCCCTTTGAGGGTCGAACAACCCTTTCACAGGGGTCGCCTAAGACCATGGGAAAACATAAAGATATTTACATTACGATTCATAACAGCAGCAAAATCACAGTTATACGTAGCAACAAAAATAATTTTATGGTTGGGGGTCACCACACATGAGGAACTGTATTAAGGGGTCGCGGCATGAGGAAGGTTGAGAACCGCTGCTCTAAAGCATCATGCTGTTGTGCTTTTGGGTTTGGAATTCTGTCCCCTTGGTGTGATGACCTGGTGATCTCCCACTGCTCAGAAGCTCTGATGGGTGATTACGTATGGCTCTGATAAACAAGCAAAATGGAAATTTTTACTTAGCAGATATGTTTGTAGAAACTTCTTTCAAAGCACAGGCAAGGTCCAGCTACAGGGAGTGTCATCAGCATATTAATGAAGGTTCTCTTGGTTGACGGGATTCATGTGATTTTTAGTTTCTCCCTAAACCTTTCATGTATATTCCAAAGTTTCTTCACTAACCTCATGTTGTTTTTTCTTGCTTTTAGTAGTCAACACCCAACAACAACTTTTTCAATGCCATGGGCAAAAATGTTTCTGTTTCATACCCCCTGGTGCTGGGGGGGAAGGGACATTCCTACACTGATGGTGGGAGAAGAAACTGGTGAACACTTTCTGGACTGGAGATGGACAGTGTAATCAAAACATTCCATACACATCCTCTGACCCAGCCCAGCACACGTATTCACAGAAGGTCACCAAGATACAGAAAGGAGGATGCTCATTATGATAAAGTGTGCAGCCAACGAGGACTGGTTAGATTAAGGGATGACCCGTCATCAGCTTGGGAGAAAACCCAGAACCCAGTTGTAAGATTCTCTTCCCAATTCCACTCCATTTCAAGTGACATCATGTCTGTAGCTTGAAATTAACTGTGGTGAGAGTAAGTAGACCACAGGAACTGACAGTGCCACCACCTAGGGCTTCCCTCCCCCTCACCTGGGAGCCGGTTGTCCAACATGTACCAGCACACCGCTGGGTTCAACTACATCATGGGACTACTGTGCAGGTGTTAAAAAGAATACGACAGACCTGCACTCAAGTGAAAGCAAGGTGTCAGTCAGTATGATCTTTGCTGTGTGTTTTTATAAAGGAATCGAGACACAGTCTAAAAACATGAGTGAATGAGGTTGCACAGTTAAGTTCGCGAACTTGTGGCAACGGTGTTGCTGACCTTTTTTGATACCAGAGGGGTTATTCATTATGAATTTGTACCAGATGGGCAAACAGCCAAGTTTACTATAATATTTGGAAGTGCTGAGAAGGCTGTGCGAAAAAGTTAGACGAAAACAACCTGAACTTTTTGCCCACAATTCATGGCTCTTGCATCACGACAATGCACCAGCTCACACGGCTCTGTCTGTGAGAGAGTTTTTAGCCAGTAAAGAAATAACTGTATTGGAACACCCTCCCTACTCACCTGATCTGGCCCCCAGTGACTTCTTTCTTTACCCAAAGATAAAGGGAATATTGAAAGGAAGACATTTTGATGCCACTCAGGACATCAAGGGTAATACGACGACAGTTCTGATGGCCATTCCAGAAAAAGAGTTCCAAAATTGCTTTGAAGGGTGGACTAGGCGCTGGCGTCGGTGCATAGCTTCCCAAGGGGAGTACTTCGAAGGTGACCATAGTGATATTCAGCAATGAGGTGTGTAGCACTTTATCTAGGATGAGTTCATGAACTTAACTGCATGACCTCATATGCAAACTTCTTTATTTTAATGGAAGGCATGATAAGGGACTATTTAAAGTATCCATACCTAGTTGGGGTGGGAGCAGACTGATTTTACTTTGTACCTTTCTGGAACATTTGAATTTTCTTTCTCCTTAGGTATCATTTTATTTATTGTTAATGTCAACGGAGTTATATGATGGGGGAAATTATACCCTATTTTGTATTTCCTTCTTTGTACCTGTCTACATTAAAACTTCCATGCCCTCCAAAAAAGGTGAAAGGGATTAAGAAGTACAAATTGCCAGTTACAAAAAACAGTCATGGGATAAAATGTACAGCACAGGGCCGGCTGAGTGGCTCAGTTGGTTAAGAGCTCACTTAAGAGTGTGAGCTCTGAGCATCAGCAGTTCGATGCCCGGCCCGGGCTGAGCTGCCGCTGAACTGCCAACAGGTGGCAGGATGGCTCAGCTAAAAAAAAAAATGTACAGCACAGAGAATATAGTCAATATTATAATAACTATGTATGGTGTCAGATGGGTACTAGACTTAACCGTGATCACTTCGTAAGGTATATAAATGTACACTATGTTGTATACCTGAAACTAATATAATAATGTATGTCAACTATAATTGAGAAACAAATTTAAAAACAAAAACTTCCATGCCCTCTGGGGCATCCACATAAATAAGGGGACTACCCGGGAAGGGGAGGCTGAGGCGGCCACCGCAGTGAGGCCAGGGCCTGGGTTACCTGGTGATGATGGCCAGGTGGGGTGGGTTCATGCAGGCCCCCATGAAGAGTACCACGTTCTCATGCCGCGTCTGCCGATAGTTCATCACCTCTTTCTTGAACAGCTTCAGGTGGTCCTGGTTGTGGCCATCCATTTCCAGCAGGCGGATGGCCACCTCACCGTGCCAGCGGCCACGGTGCACCCGGCCCCAGCGGCCCTGCCCGATGGGCTCGCCCAGCTCCACCTGCTCAAAGGGGATGTCCCACTCCTGCAGGTACACGCTGGTCTGGCTGGCCTTGCGAGAGATGGGGCCCCGCCAGGGCCGGCGGGAGCTTGGCAAGTCATCCACCTCGTCCTCGTCGTCTTCTGCCTCCGACTTGTCAGCCTCCGGCTCCTCGGCCTGGAAGGACAGGAGGAAGGGATAGAGCAGGGCAGCAGATCTGGGCTCAGCCAACCTCCCTTCCCCGGAGCCCCAGCCAGGTAAGGGAGGAGGACAAGCATGGGGTCAGGAGGCCTAGGTTCTAGGTGCGGCTCTGCACTGGCTTGCTGGGACAGCAGGCAGGCCACTTAGCACCATGGATAGGGCTTCAGCGTCCTCATCTCCAAACAATGGCCCTTTCCCCTAGCTGGGCTCTGAGGTCCTCCTTCTCCTTAACACCCCAAGGTCTATCTATGAGTGACATCTAATCACTAGGGAAGCGCGTTAACATCCCCTGGCATGAATAATTTAACCACGTTTATTCTTTCTGGGTATTCTTTTGTGTAAACAGCTTCTGGCTCTCCTCTAGGCAGGAGTCAGTCTGCTAACACTGCTGTAAGCCACACTGCACTGCAGGGAGCCAGGCTCAGCTTACACTGCGGTTCAAGGGTCATGGCAGTGGTTCTTGGCCCGGCTACAGTCAGAATCACCAGGGGAGCTTTGACAACAGATACCTGGCCCTACCCTGGATGGAGGGAGGCCCCACTCCGGATAGACTGAAGCAGTCTCACAGGCTGGGGCCCAGGCCTCTCTGGGCTGGGGGTGGGAACCATGGGCATTAAAGAGCTTATTTTAGCCTCCCAAACAGAAAAGCAAAAGGAAGCTGGCTTTGTAGCATTCTTCATCAGTCTTCCCTGCTGTGCACAGCTGTGCACATCTGCCCACATCTGTTGCAGCAGGGACCTGAGACAGCCCTTGCTGGGGCCCGGCACCTACACACTGCCCAGGCCCCTACACGTGCTGAAATGGGAAGAGAGAGAGAGAGAGGAGAGAGAAGGCACAGCCTATGGCTCACCTCTGCTTCGTGATCCTCTAACACGTCTGCTTTGGGTTGGTCATCGAGCCTAGGAGTAAAACAGGGTTTGTCACAGAGACCCTGAGGGTGGGCTACTCCGCTCTCAGCTTGGGGCAGGGGACCCCCCCATGTGAAGCTGAGAAAGGGCCGCCAGGCCTGGGTCTGTACTTTGACCCACTTGGCTGTGGGTAAGGCAGCCTGAATGTTGTGGAAACAGTCAGGAGGCCGAGGACCAGGCCCTAATTCCCTTCACCTTCACCTGAGGGTGGTGGGAAATGGGGGGGCAGGGGGCAGTAACCACCAAGGCCCTTTCAGATCTGACAACCACTGTGGAGATTCCAAGTTACAAGCACAGGACTTGAAATTCTACTCGAGGATTGGTTCTGTTGCATCCTAGCTGCGTGACTTTATGCAATATCTTAACCTCTCTGAGCTACCTTCCCCATCTGTAGATTGAGGATGACACCTACTTCATTACCTACTCGTGAACATGAGTCAGGTGCTCAGTATAGCCTGACATGGAGAAAGGGCTCTATAAACAGGAGCTCTTTTTAGTAGGTTTCTCTGAGTGCCCTTTGCCCCCTCCTCCTGGGTCACAACAGCTCCAGGTTTGCAGTCCCATCCAATGTTCACTGTACCAATAGGAGGCTAATAAAACCCTCCTGCTGAGCTCATTGACCCAAGGGTGAATTAGCCCAAGGACGTTGCCATCTGGCTGGCTCGGGTACAAGGATGACAATGTGTGGAGTGGGAGGTCAGAGATTTAAAGTGGGGTGGGGTGGGAGATGGTCAGGGATGTGGCTCTCTTAAGTCCCCACGGAGGAGACAGGGGACACAGCACAGGAATGCCTACCGGGTACTGTCCGCTGCATCGGGGAGTGGGGCTGCCTGCGGAAATGCTGAAATATCTGGAGGAAACAAAAAGCAAATACAAAGCATGAGATTACCTTCCCATTCCCCCCAAATGACAGTGCTTACATGCACGGAAGTGGGTTCTCCCCGAGCAACCCCCTCACAGGGTGACACGTGTTCTCCAGGCCGTTTCCACTCAGGCCAACTCGTCCTTTTCTTAAAACGGAACATGGAGGTTGAGGCTTCGTTAACACCATTCCCCTGTGGCCAAACTGCCTCATATAAGCAAGGGGTGAAGGCAAACTGGGCTACTGTTTACTGGACATGTGGGCCAGGCCCTCCTGCTCTGCTTGGAGGCAGGGGCTGGTAGTGAACTCTTGCAAGTAGTGCGACTCCTTCACTCAGGCCAGCAGGCCGAAGGCAGGACTCGCAGGTAGCTTGTTAGTGACACCGGGTGCCTGGCACAACTGCTGGGAATTTCTGGTGGGAGCCAGAGACCCCATCCCCTCGGCTTCCGGACTTGGAGGACCGGCGGAGCAGCTCTCAGGCCAGAGGAAGAAATACAGTCCATCGTGCAGCGATGCACCGAGCCTGGGGCGTTCCCAGTTTTCACCTTTAGTCACCCTAGGGTGACCAAACCCTTCATGCCGCTGCTGCCATCTTCTTTGTCTTCTCTGCTCTAATCTCACACAGGGAGGCTGGCAGCCCCAGGGCTGGGTGGGTCCCTTGCTCCCTCCTCTTTTATCAACAAAAGGAGACAGACTAGAGGAGGCAGTGACTCAGGCTAATCAGTGGCCTCTTTCACCTTCTAGGACAAACAGCCTCCCCCATCAGCCATCAAACCTCCCTCAAGCTCCCTCTAGAGCAGCAGTTCTCAACCTGTGGGTCGCAACTCCTTTGGGGGTCGAACGATCCTTTCACAGGGGTCGCCTAAGACCATCGGAAAACAAAAAGATATTTACATCACGATTCATAACAGTAGCAAAATTAGTTATAGAGTAGCAATGAAAATAACTTTATGGTTGGGGGTCACCACAACATGAGGAACTGTATTAAGGGGTCGCAGCATTAGGAAGGTTGAGAACTGCTGCTCTAGAGCCTTCTCCAAAGCCACCCCTGAGGGTCATCTGAACCACAGGTTCTCAACATCTCAGGGACCTCACAGATTTGAAGACTCTGATAGTGTCTGTGGGCCTTCTTATCAGGGAAACGCACACAGGCACCCAACACCCTGTGCAGAGTTGCTGGGAAATCCTGGACCCTGGAAGCTTCTGCCAAGGCCTCCTCCAGACACCCCTGTATCATGTCCACAGACTGTCAGAGTGGCCTGACATTTCTACCCATCCAACATGGCTCAAATGTTTCCACAAAAGAAAAAGAAAAAGACAGCAGTGTGTGTGTGTGTGTGTGTGTGTGTGTGTGTGTGTGTGGTGTCTGTGAGAGGGGTGGGGGTGGAAAGTGGGGGTGGGGGTTCAAGAAGAAATTGCACCCCAGGTGGGAGGGCAGAATGTCTCTGAAGCCTCATACTTTTCCTTAAATATTGAGAACATACTTTGCATTCTGTTCCAAAAGCGTGTCCATGTTTGTTTTCATAGAAATATATTTTCCTCCCCTCCCCCACAAAAATCTTCAGAGCAAGACCAGCCCTTCTGGGGTTCTGAAGCCTGCAGACCTTCCCATACTGGCTTCCCTTCTGGGAGAAGAACCATGTTTTTCTGATGCTTCCATGTACTCCCCTGTACGCCATCCTAGGGTAGTAACCTGGGAGGCTCTTGGAGGGAAATCAAAGCAAAAAGGGGTCTGAAACCAGGACCCCAGCCTGCTTGCACATGACTGCAAGAACTGACAAACACTCCAAGTCACTCCCCTAAAAGAGCTGGGCTGGGGAATAGAAAAGCCTGGACTAACCAAAACGCCATGACTTCAGGACAGGCCTGTTTAACCCAGTAAAAAAACAAACAAAAAGCAATTAGTTACAGTCTTTGCCTAAAACACGCAAAACCTTCATATGGCTAAATTAAGAATTAAAGTTGCAGATTCCTTATAATGCTTGTCACCTTCAGCTTGAGAAATAAGTACTAATCATATAAACTCCTTACGGGCAGGAATATGGTCAAATGCAAAGGTTGGCACATTGTAAGGTGTGCAAAAACAATTTTTGTGTCAGGGAATCAATGAGATTGATTGTCTTACTGAATTTAAAGTTTTTCCTTTAAGCTTTCTGCATCAAGGAGGCATTTCCAAATGATGGCCAGCAGATGGCACTGTGCGACAAGGCTCTGGAAAGTGTACTCCACGGAGTAAGGGAAGCCTGCAGACCTTCCCATACTAGCTTCCTCTTCTGTAAGATAGAGGAGCCGTTTTCTTGTCATTGTACAGAGGAAGAGATCATGACAGATGCTCATAAGGCATCAGCAAAAAGTCCTCTCTGCCCATTATGCAAATCGTATTTCTGCCATCTCCTGGATGTGTGACCCTGGACAAGTTGCCTGTAGTCTCTGGGCAAAAGGGTGGGCAGGACGGGTGCCAAGGACTCTCCTAGCAAGTTATTGCCCCTGTGAGGCCCCAGCCTCAAGGCTACTACTCACCCGCTCCCTTGGCAAACCTCAACAGATAGTCAGCTCTCAAAATAGGTGGGTGTGAGACTCAAGCACCTCCAAGGTGCCCAGGGAGAGGACACCCAGGTGGGTTGGACAGAGGGGTCACGACAAGGGGCAGTTAGTGGAACCATGCAAAGCACTCACCTGGGAAGATAAACTGCTGTCTATGATGAATGAAGTAGGCAGCTTTAAACAGAAGAGGAGGTGAGTCACACACAGAATAGCAAATGCAGTGAAGGGGGAGGGACACAGGCATAGGCTTGGGAGGGAGGGGCTGGTTATGGGCTGGGGCAGGCCTGCTCCACCAGCCCTGCCCTGCCCCACCCAGGTGAGCTCGGCCAGGACAGGATGATCAATGCAGGAAGGAGAAAAAAAGCTAGGAGAAAATGGGTGCTGGCTGGAGCCCCCAGAAGTGAAGGACTGGGGTCCGGAAACCCAGTCTCTAAAGCCCCCTTGCTGCAGAGCCCTGGCCAGTTCCGTTCACGTTCAGGCCCGCTTCTCTGTGAAATGCGTATGAGCCCAGGAGGGCAGAATACAGTGGTGAGAAAAACGGTGATTCTGAAAACGTTTAACCATCTGTGTACAGAAGAATGGTCTTTCCCTCAGCCCCACATTCACACCTGGAGGTGTGGAGGCTTCAGTGACTAGACCTCACCATCCAGAGGAAAAAAAAGTCTCTTTTAAGGATGATTGAAGGGGACGTTCTGGGGATCTGGACGCTGACATAGCATACTTCTAACCCCAGCTCTGCCACTTACGAGGCTCTGAGACCTTGGAAAGTCGGTTATTGTTTGTAAAATGGGGTATAAATAACCTGTGCCCAGGTTTATCCTGGAGGATAAGCTGGAATGTTCCCACGCAGTAGAGACAGGGTGGACAGTAGGAGATTCTTCCCCAGCTTCAGGCCAGCCCAGCCCTGGGCATTGCCATGACCAGAGAGAGAACAGATTCTGGAGAGGGTGAGGGCTCTGTGCAGGGGCATCAGGGAAAGCTGAGAAGCTCTGGCTGACATCACAAAAAGGACTTTTTCTGTGGCTGTTGTTTTTTCAAGCAGGCCCTTCCTTTTAGAAAAACCCAAGCTAGAAGGTTTAGCAAAAGGCCCAGTTTCAGAGCATATTAATGACAGAACAGAATGGGAGAAGAGGCTAATCAAACAGGCCATCGCTCCATCGCAGGGAAGGGAGGGGTATGATGGGGACAATGCATTAACATTCAGAGACGCCCAGCCACGTGCGTGTTAAGGCGCAGGGACAGCAAAAGAGAAAACAGATTCCCACAAAATCTGTGTCACACCATCCCCAAACGAAGTCCCTGGAACCCTGCTGAGATGGGCCCAAAGCGTTGCCCAGCCTCCTGCTGGCTGTGTGTGGCCCCAGCTGGGGGTCCCCTGGCACAAGAAGAGCTGTACCTCTGTCCTCCTGGGCCTGGAGCCCCAGGGGCCAGTGACAGGTAGGGCCTGATTTGGATTCCATGGGCTGAAGCTGGCAGTGGGCTTGTGACTGGGCTGGGAGCAAACCGGACCACCGCAGCCACCGTTCCTTCCTCCAGGCTGCCACATGAAATAAATTTTAGGACGAGATCTACTGCTAGGAGCTGCCAGGCACGCGGAGGCTCAGCTCTCATATGGGCAAGTGGGCTTCGTTCCGTTCCCCGGGGAGAGCGGACAGCCCCAGGCTTGGCCGCGAAGTGGGGATCCTGGCCTTTTAGACCCCACGGCAGCCGCAGCTATAGCGGAGTGAGAGGTCAGCTCTGGTCAGGTCTAATCCAGCATGCATGCGCCTGTGGGACTCTGTCCTTATCTGAACACTGAGGATACCGAATTCCAACCTCAGGTAGTCTCTTGTTTTATGGAAAAGAAAACAAAGGCTCCCATTTAAGTAGTTTGTCCAGATCACAAAGCAGGTAAGTGACAGAGGCCCCCAAATCCCTTCTCCCGGGCCTGCTGGGCCTGCCCCAGCTCCCCGAGTTGCCTGCCATGCTTCCTGGGAGCTCAGGAGCCCTGAGTGAGTAAGCAGTGTCTAGGAGAAGCCAGCCATGTGCAGGAGGGCAGCATGGGGATTATGTCAAGAATGCAGGCTTCAAAGCAGACAGACCTGGCTTTGATCCTGGCTCTGCCAGTTACAGGCTGTGCAACTCAGGGCAAGCCACTTCCTCTCTGTACCTCAGTGTTCCTGTCTGTAACATGGGTACAATAACAGCATCCAGCTGTTATCCAGCTTAAATATGGCAATAAAATTGAGCTAGGTACAGCGCCTGGCTCCCAGCAAGTACTCTCAGTGGCGGCAGTGTCTGACCTTGGGCCTGCTAGGGTGTGCTAAGAAGGGGCACCCAACTCCACCCCTGAGGGCCTGAAGAAAACCAGAGGTGCGATACCTGGGAAGTTGAACCTGCTGTCTCGCTGGCCCGGCGAGGGGTTGGGGGGCGTGGTGGCACTGGATGGGTTGGACGACGTCGGGAAGGGGGCCGGCGAGGAGGGCGTGGAGGACGTGGTGGAGGACGGGTTGCTGCTGGAGTCCAGGTGGTTCATGGCTGGAGGGTGCTCCTGCAGGACCAGAGATGCAGGAAGTGTCACTGCCCTGCCCAGCCTGCCTCCCACGTCCCACGCTGGGGCCCTCCCTTCCCCGTGTACACACGAGGAGGTCAGCCTAGGGCATCCTGACATTTTACTGGTCTAATATTTGAGGGAAAGATGGCACAGAGACCCTCGCCTCACCGCCCACCCCCCAGAGGAGCCCTGCTAATCCTTCTCATTTCAGCTCCAACATACTTTCCTCCCAGAAGCCTCTCCTGAGCCCTGGCTGGGGCCGTGCCCCTCCTGATCCTCCCGTAGCGCCCAGCTCTTTTCATCAAGGCACTCAAACTGCGGTGTGTCAACTGCGTCTTGGGTGGTTTTCTGAAGAATGTCTCGCCCACTATTGTGTGTCGTGTGAGGGCAAGGACCATGTCTGCTCATCATACACCCAGCGCCTGGCTCTGAGCCAGCACACAGCAGGGTGTTTTAATGAATTAAATTCAGCCTCTGAAGAGTACTTGTTTAGTATGTAGTACACAGCAGGTGCCTAATAAGTGCTCCCTCCACTCTTTTGCAGACCTGCTGGCTAGAACCACCCAGTGGTTTGAGCCGTCGCACGGCCAAAGGACCACCTGAGAGCGGGCTACAGGGGGACTGATTCTATGACCCTGGACCAGAGTTTCCCAGACCCAAATAACAGCGGGTGGGGGAGGAATTCCTTGGTCCAAAAAGTTGGGGCCACATTGGGTTAAATACTAAGTTGAACAGGTTTTTTTCATGCAGGCCCTAAAAGCTCTGGGATGCACAGTGGACTCTGTACAGTGGGCCTCGCTGCCCAGGGACCGCCACCACCACTAGGTGTCAAGCTAAAGAGGGGGATGGACTGGGATTCACTGAGCACTTACTACGCTGGATCTCACTCCAAGGCCCCAGACCCTCTCTCCTTGTCTGGGCCAGGCAAGCCAGGGCAGGGGGAGTGGCTATGAGGCAGGCTGCAGCCCAGCTCCTCCACTCAGCACCTGCATGACCCTGGACAAATCACCTTGCTGAGCCACACTGTGTTGTCTATAAAACAAGGGTGTCAGCTGCTGCCTTCACGGGGTTGTTCATTTGCTCAACGTTCAGCACAAACATTTCCCCTACTGTGTATTGTGTGCCAGGCACCCACGTAGGCATCAGGGACCCGGCGGGAGGACAACATGGCTCTGCCCTCCAGAGCACCCCGACCGGGGAGACGGACAGCAACAGGTGACTGACTGCACGGTGCAACGTCAGGTCGGGGGAATGCTGGGAAGGAAGTGACACAGCCAGGGGCCCTGTGCCTTAGGCCATGTCCAGGCCTCCCTGAGGGTTTCAGTGGTATAAATGCTGGGGAGGGTGTTTCAGGCAGAGGGAACATAGGAGACATCAGGTCTGGAGCAGCTGGCTTCCTTTGTTGGACAACGAGAGGTGGCCTGGACTTTCCCGGGGAGCCCTAGCTGTATCTTCAGGGCCCCCAGTGTTATCTGGCCACACCACTTGCTTCTCTTGTCTCTACCTAAACCTCTACCCAGGTTGGCCCGACCCACTGAAGGCCAGCCACGGTCATGGAGCTGCCGGTCACACGGCCCTTAGTAGGGAGACAATTATATGCTAAGCCCTGGCCTGGGGCTGGGACACAACACACTTAAAACACAGAGGCCTGGGGGAGGCCACCCATTTCATGGTCACCAGGATGGGGGCAGCTGTCCAAAGCCATCTGTATGGGCACCTTGCAGACACCATGCACACCTGTGCACGGGAGCCCGTGACAGGTCTGTAGACCCTCCTGGGACACGCAGGCCTTGGAGAGTCTATCTAGTTGCAGAGGACGCCTGCCTGCATTAGCAGAGAGGATCGACCCTAGGCTATAGAAAGAAATACACTTTCATGCGTTCCTTTCGAGGGCACGTTTGCTGCACTGTGACTAAGGCCCAGGCTCAGGAGCTGGGCCTGCCTCTCGCTCACAGGGGACCCAGTACTCAGTTTCCTCATCTGTAAAATGGAGGTAATGGCAGTCTGTGCCTTTTAGCACTATTGTGAGGGTCAAAGGAAACACCAATGGAAAAAGTTCCCAACTCAGTGAAATACAGTAATACCTTGGTTTGCGAGCATAATTCATTCCAGAAACAAACCATTTGTATCGCAAGACATCGCTCATTTACCACGTTAAAATGTATTAGAAATGTTTGCTAGTCTTGCAGAACACTCTCAAATAAAGTTACTCGCAATCCAAGGTTTTACTGTATTAGCTCAAAAAGGGGGCGGGGGCTATAGGCACATCACTGTGATCTCGACATATGTAAATGTGAAGTCTGCTAAATGGCTAAAGACAGGATCCGTGAAAGCCGCCCTCTGGCCAGGGATCTGGGCTGTGTTGTCATGCTAGACTTCCACATTAGGGGTGCTTTACAGAGAGGAATCCAGGGTGGGGGTTCTCCTGGCAGAGGCACAGGAACCTCGGGCCATTGTCCAGCGTACCTTTTTTGTCAGTGCTTTGGGGAGGGTTCCAAAATGGGGTTCGGCTGCTCTGTCCACCGGGTTGTTGATGTCCGAAGGGACAGATTCTGTCCTCCGAAGCCTAGATACTGTTTAAAAGAGAGGGGGAAACCATCAGCAGGGAACAGATCAAGATAAAGATTCACCCCCAATTCAGAAGGCAGAGGAGAGAAAGGGCAGAACAAACACTCACTTGGAAGGAAGGATATTCTACAGGCGGGGGCTTCTTTTGTACACTTGTTATGACACTTCAACCTGGTAAAAAAAAAGGCAGGGTCAGTGCACGGAGGGCCAGACAGGGCTCCCGGGGCACATGTGGGTCACATGTCTGTTTCTCTTTTCTAGACAAAAAAAACCTTCCACCCACATTCAGAAAGCCCCAGAGGAATCTGAACTCACAAAAAAAGATGAATTAAAAGGAGAATGTCTGTATCACCCAAGTATCCCAGGGATGCAGGGCAGCCCCACCCACGACATTCCAGCATGGGCCTTGTGGTCAGAGGGTCAGCAGGGCTGGGCCAGGAATGGAAAGAGCTGAGCTCTCGTTTCGGTCCTGCCTGCTGCACTGTGTCTCGGGTTCTCACTGATCAAATGGGCTGACATTTGGGGCCCAACCAACCCTACACTGCAATTGCAGGCGAGCACGGGGCTCAGGGATCACCATCTCCACACGAAAGGTATTACTTGAAAGGGAGCTGGAGATCCCCAATTTAAAGCCACATGGCCAGGAGCCACAGCAGACCTAGGCTGGTGAGAAAACTCTGGCATCTCCTCGGTGGTCAGGAGAGTCATCGGGAAAACACAATTTATCCCGCTGACATGTAGGAAGGCCCGATCCCTACAGGCTGTCAGGAACCCAAACGCTTTTACACATACTCGCTCAGATTCTTGGGGCAATCCTGATGGACAAAGAGACCTGGAATAATCTTCCCAGGTGTACAAATGACAAAAATGGGGCCCAGAAAGGGTGAGTGCCTTGCCCCGAGTCACACAGCAATGCAGGGGCAAAGCGGGAGGCAGCAAAGACTCCAGGCCCACCTTCTGCTGGGTGAGGGCAGCGAGACAGAAGGGGACAAACTGATCGCACCACACTACCCATCCCGGTCCTTCTCTCCTACCAGAAACCACAACGGTATGAAAACGGAAAGCTGGATGTGTACAGAATCTACATTCTTTCCTTCTGTAAGTACCATGAGCCATCTCTCTGTTTTTACCATTGCCTGTCCCTGGTTCCCATCCCTTGAATGCTAAAATGTAAGGCAAATATCAGCACTCCTTAGAGTTTCCAGAATAGCCTTCCCGTTCCTCTCTGCCTTTGGACAAGATGCTCCCTTGGCCGGAAATTCACTTCCCTCCTTGGTCTACCTGGCAAACTTCTATTCGTCCTTCACAGCCCACCTCAAATATCCCCTTCTTCTGGGATTGCCTTGCTTGATGCTTCCTTTAATCTCCCTAGAGGGGGGCTGATCACTCCTTGGTGTGCTGAATGGAAACACGAATAGCAGGTTTATGGGAACCCATTGAACTCTTGACTCGTCCTGAGGCCAAGAATCAAGTAGCGGGGCTGTTACTAAACAGTCCTGAAAGTATGCTCCCCTCTCCCACCCACCTCGCCCTCCGCTCATCACCTGCAATGTTTGCACTTCACTCCGAACATCATGTTCTTCTGGCATACGTGGCACACCTGCGACAGCCAGGACTTGGTGGAGAACCTGCAGGAGAACACAGAAAAATGCTCACATGGGCCGGGAGACCAGGACCTGAATGACGAAGGGTCACCACACAGCTCCAGGGAAACCAAGAAACACGGTTTCAACCCAGAGCCCCAGGCACCCTCTCCCTGGGTGGGCAGGGACATCCAGGAACCACTGTCCCCCCCTTTCCCACCACATTCAGATTTCCCAGCCACAAAACCATCATTGTCAAAATCCCAAAGCGGGCGTCACTGACTCCAGCTCTCGGGTAGGCAATCTGGCAATGGCAACCAAAATTACAAGTATGCAGACCTTCTGACCCAGCAATTCCCATCTTAGGAATGTATCCAACAGATACTCCCATGGATGGCAACGGATGTATGGGCGACATGACGCTCTGCAGCCTGTTTGTAGCGGTGAAAGACTGGGAATGACAGGCGCTGTTTAGGTGTATCAGTGACAGACTACATGCAGAAAGCGTGGTCCAACCCGGCAACTGAGCACCAGGCAGCCGGAAAAGAAAACAAGGATGCTCTTTCTGTGCAAACATGGAATGATCTCCAAATTACACTGTCAGTGCAGAAAGGTACAATACCACATGATTCCATTTCTATGAAGTTCAAGGATAAGAAACGCTCATCTAGGATGACAGAAGTGAATAGTAACCTCTGGGTGGCAGCGCTAGCGACTGGGAAAAGCCCAAGATAGCTTTCTGGGGGCTGGAACCCTGGGAATCTTCACTCGGGAGGTGTAGACATGTCAAAATTCACTTGTGCACTCTTAGCTCTGTATAAATTGTGCCTCGATTTAAAAAAGAAAAGTATAGAACAGCGTATATAACGTATGCAGTATTTGTGTGAAAATTTAAAAAAGGAGGCAGAAGAGTCCACATATGTATTTGCTTGCATAAAAATATCTCTATAAGGACACACGAGAAACTGCCAAGATCTGCCTACAAGGGGAACTGGGGGGCTGGGGACATGAGCAGGAGGGGACTTTTCTGTATGTATACCCTATTGCACCTCAAGAATTTTGAATGTATGCATGTATTTCAATCCAAATCCAATCAAAATTTAAAAATTTAAAAACAAAAACCACAAGCTAGATTGGAAAGAAGGATGGGGTTGAGTGGGCCTATCTTCCAGAGAAAGAGCCCAAGGCCAGTCCACAGGGAGATGATGTCGAAGGGCAGAAAGAACTCACAGTTTTGGAGAAACAGATTTTTAAGAGCACAATACCTCATAGTAACAGCAGAATGAATAGCAACCGCAACAGCATTTGAGGAGCAGTGTTTAATGCATCCATAAAGCATTAGCTCACTGGATTCTTGCAATCTCCCCTGGGAGTTAGGCAAATCCAGGCTTCTTAGTACACAGGCAAGGAAACCAGCTCAGAGAGGTTAGGTGACTTTCCTGAGCTCACACAGTTGGGCTGCTGGCTGTGCAGCAGAAGCAAGACGCCACGCTCCTGAACTGAGAGCTGCGAGGCTTCTCTGTATGAGACCACTGGGGCAGACAGCAAGGGAAAGCACAGCTCTGGGGTCTGACCCCGCCAGGCTGGAGCCTACTGACTACTGGCTCAGGTGCCTCGGAGCCGTCTGCAATGGGGGCCAACACGCTCACCTCTCAGCGACCTGGGGAAGATCACACACGCGCTATGCTGTGTGTGTGATTGTGTGGTGCCGGGAATGTGGAGGAGGCGTGCAAATGTTACTATCTCCACCAAGCCAAGATGGGAGCTCCCGGGGGGGGGGGGGGGGGGGACAAAGGCACCCACCTCCCTGGAGTGAGTGTGTTTTAAGGAGTCCCAATCCTGCCTCCCTGGGACCCACACTCTTTCCGGGCTTTAACCTTCTCTCATGTCAACACCAGGGGGAAGAGGAGCAGTTCAGTGGCACCCACCTCCCTGGAGTGAGTGTGTTTTAAGGAGTCCCGATCCTGCCTCCCTGGGACCCACACTCTTTCCGGGCTTTAACCTTCTCTCATGTCAACACCAGGGGGAAGAGGAGCAGTTCAGTGGTATCTGAGGTGACCTCCACAAGGAAATCCTGAAAGTAGGCTGAAATGATAGGTCTGGGCATGAGAAGGGGCAGATGCTGGGGAGGTGGGTGGGGGCGGGGTAAAGGCCTTCAGGGACCAGGGACGGGTCATGGGACAGTTTTTTCTGCCACGATTAGACCAAAATCCTGTAGACCTTCTTGTTGAGACGGGTCTGGATCATGGGTTTAAAAACCAAGAGGGTGTGACTGTGACATCACCTAACCAAGCCCAGAACCGGGGCAGGGTGGGATAGGCCGCCTGGCAATGCTAGACAAGAGGGGTGCTGCTGCCTTGCTTGGGGGGCAGCATGGGGGACAAGCTGCCGCGGCCTCAAACCCTCTGTGAAACCAAGTGCAGCCAAGACAAGAACAAAACGGATAGCCTGCTGATCCTGGGGTCCCCTGGATAACGCTGGCCTCTCTCAGGCGAGAGCCAGGGGCTAACACCAAGTGCTCCCCACGGCGGGACATGTGACGCTCAGATGCACATCACATTTTAGCCTCATGACATGACTCAGAGAAAGTTCCATTTGCAAAGGAAGAAACTGAGGCTCGGAGAGGTGACTGCTGACAGGCATGCCGCTCATGGGGCAGGAGCGGAGTTCCCCACCCCACTTGAAAGGTCGTGCTCTCAGCAGCGCTTTCTCGGCCCTGGGAAGATCACACCGGCACCTTGGGTAGGGGCGAGGGAGGCGCTTAGACCTCCATTCAGGGCCTCACTATGGTGCTGGGACGCTCTCCCCAGGGTCTCAGGTACAGGCACCCCAGCCCTGACAAGGCTTCAAACAGAGGTGCCCACGCCCCAGCCAGCAGGCTTGAGCACTGTCTTCATGGCAGTGTGACCTCAGGCAAATTACTCCACCCTCTCCAGGGCTCCCCCTCTGGGTGAGAATTCCAGGCTGGCCTCCCACTCAGGCTCCCACTCAGGCTGGAGTGCAGCTCACACTCCAGGGGGCAATGACAGGCCCTGGCAAGATGCAAAGCTCTCGCTAAGCATGCCCTGTTGTGTTCACAAAAGCACAGGAACCCAAGGCACCGTCCTGCTGGTTGTCTGCGTGACTAGACGCCAGCCGGACCTGTTGTTGGTAGCACACACCAGCTGCATGAGCGCTGAGGCCAAGCATTCTGCACAGTGCATGTCGTGGGCCTGCATCAGTCCACACCAACACGTATGAGCGCCCGTCGCTGCAAGTTGTTGGAAACCTAGATCCCCAACCTCAGGGACGGGGCTCGGGAGTCTGGAGTTTCAAGCTTCATGGGCTCTGGTGTGTGGCCAGTTGTAGGATCCACAAGACATCCAGCTGCACTCAGGAGAAGCTCCTGGCTCCTCCTCCAAGGGACTGTGACCCGTGTTTTCCCTCAGCAGACTGAGGAAGAGACCAAAGGAGGCACAGCGGAGGCCCCAGCAAGTCCCTGTGGCCACAGGTGACACACAGGGGCTCCAGGTGGGTGCAGCGCTGTGTCCACAGAGGTGATAGAGACAGATCAGAGGCAAAGAGTACTGAGAAACAGGGGTCAGGACAGACTCCACTATGATGAAGAGCGACTCCTCAGTGAGAGCTCCGGCACGTGTGGGTTCCATATCCAGCTGTGCCCCCTCCCAACCCCGCCCGGCTGGACCTACCTGTGTGTCACCGAGAGCCCGATGTCCCTCCGTACCATCTGTGGGGATCCGTGCGGGAGATCTGCGGGGAAAGAAGCCAGGTCGGGCAGGCTGAGGGAGGTCTGATCCCTTTCCAGAGATCACAGGCTAGACGGGCATAGAGACTTACTGACTGGCAGGGAAATGTACCTTAACCTGCACCTATCCACACGGACGGGACAGGCTAGACCTACAGGGCAGCCATGCGTGGCCTGCTTCTGCAATGAGTGTTACTGCCTGGCCTCTGCAGACGGTTTAAAAACTGTCCCTGTGTGGTTTCTAGTTACGGTGGAAGGCAGGCGTGAGAGGCAGAAGGTAAAGCAAAGGTGAGGGGAGAGTTCACCTCCAACCTCTACCTCTTGCACTCTCTCATGGATGAACCCACAGATCACCTGTTTGTGAGTGGTTAATTCTGGGCACTTCTTGTGAAGTGGGTAGAAGTTGTCTGGCCTGTGGCAGAAGGTTTGAGGCTGGTTAGCCATGTGGCACATCCAGCACCCTGAGAACTTTGCTGACAGTGACCGCTGCACATCTTGGCGGGTAGAGTGAGGACAAGGTGGCGCTTTACCATGCTCCCACATGGCCCAGTCCCACCTGGCACTCAGTCTGAGCCTCTGGGGAAGTCTCACTTTGGAGACGTCCCCTCCGCCTGCCATCCTAGAGGGTGCCCTGGCTCTCCCTCTCCTAATCCTGGGCTTCCCCCCAAACAACAGGCATCACAGGTCGGCAGTGGAGGAGCATCTGGAAACAAGCCCTCCATCCACGGGCAGCCCACATGTCCAACTTCCTCCCTCCCCTCCTCGGCCTCTGCAGCCCCTCCTCCCTACCCCGCTTCTGCCCATGCTCAGCACTGTTTCCCTCCTCCCAGGGGTTCTCCACTGAGCCCATGAATGGGCTCCAGGGGGTCTGGGAGCCCTCTGGACTGGGTAAGCAGAATGCTGTGGGCTTTTCCCTGGAAATGGGGTCTAGACTGTTATCCAAGTATCAGAGACCTGTGACCCAGAAAGGTCAGAAACACAGTGCTTGAGGGATCTGTGGCCATCTCGTGTCCTCCGAGTCAGCAGCACCCTCTACCCCCCAGGAGCCCACTGCACCCTCCCTGGGACCCGCGTGCTGGCCTGGCACACAGCTGGTGCTCAGTAAGTGCTAGTTCACTTAGAGACAAGTACCACATACCCAACCACAAGGAGAAGAGCATGTTGGAGGTACTGATTCCTCCTCCCACCCCAAGGAGAGGTCGATCAGGGCCAAAAGGCCCTTTGCTGCCCCACTGATGACTGGGAACCCACAATTATACCCCCTGCAGCTCTCTCTGGTATGTGTGCCCTGGGGCTGACTTGTCCCAGCTCCCTCCTGGGGCCCACCCCACCACTGTCAGCAGCCAAGGCCATCAAAGCGCATGGGTCTACAAAGTTTAGGTTGTCAACCTAAGAGTCAGACAGACTGTGGGGAAATGAGCGTTCAACCATCTATCTCTGAGCACAACCTGTGATTGAGTTGTTGTCTGTCATAGGCATTGCATAGGAGGGAGCTGAGGTAGCACACGTGCCAGGCGTCGACTGTTTCTTAGACAAAAGACTGGCCCTGAAGGCCTAGTCCTGCCTTCCTGGCAAGCTGGGGAAGCAGCCTCACTGGTACGGCCTCTCATTATCGCAGCAACCGGGGAGATGATAGGGCCAGGTAGTCCTGGGGACGGAGGTGCTAGCTTCTCCTCCAAGGCTCTGTGAAGACCGTGGGGAGAGGGAAATGCAGCTCCCCTCCTTCCTCACCCTGGCAGTCCCGCAGCCAGCTCCATTTCCGCACCGTCACTGATCTCTTCTCACCTCTAAGGCCCAACTGACAACCTCATCACTCTGTTTAGCCAGCTCAGGATACAGCGAAAATAAACTGCTATTTTGCTCAGGCAAACGTCTCTGCGTTTCCACCGAGACAATTAAAAGCGTACTCCACAGGCACGCCGTTTCTCTCTGCTTTGACTCAGGAGAGAGAAGCCCCAGGGCAGAGCCACATGCAAGAACCTGTTCCTGACCCAGAGGTGGAGGGGTCAGAAAGGTGGTCAGGGCCGTCTGGGCTCCATCCTTCCCTCCCAAGGGGGCATTTGCCCTTCCAATCTCTGAGGGCCTCATTCAGAGCAGAGGCGCATTCCTGCCTCCAGAGAGGTCCCTCTTCTGCAGAGAAGGGTCCTGAGAAGTCAGCTGGCGTCTGTGGATGGCTAATGTCCACCTACACCTCCTGGGAGTGCGGTGTTCCCACAGCAGCCCAGCAGGTAAACACTCGCTGCCAGAGTCCCCTGTGGGGAGGGCAAGGCAAGAGGGCCCCCTGTGGGGGACTGCCCATGAGCTGTGACATTCCCAAGGTCTCTGCTTCACAAAGAGATGCTGTTGGCTGGGCTGAGGCCACCGTGTCATCTGCAGGCCACCTGTCCTAGAGCTACTCCCTGAGGCAGTTCCCAGAACCTCTGCTTTTGGGCTATGGAAAGGCCAAGTGGACTAATAGAGGGTCAAAGAACTCCACCCCCGATGGGGACAGCAACACAAACATGGCTCCTGGGTGGCAGAGGGGACGAAAATGAATCACTCTTACCAAACCTAGAAAAGACAAAAAAAGAGAGAAAACAGGACTAAGTCACCATGCTGGCTCAGTGTGTTCCCCAGAACATTACCCCTGAGGGAGGCAACAGGCAAGGTGCTGGGAGGAGGACTTTGAGCCCCTAGGGCATGGGGCCAGGCTGGCTGAGTGTCTGTGGGGACATTTCCTCAATGGGAAGGGCTTGCTGCCCCCCGCCACTGCCGAGTGGGCACTGTGCACTTTAATACATTAGCTTATCTGAGCCTCGCCAACCTCTCAGCAGTAACTACAGTCCACTCCATTTCACAGGTGAAGAAACAGGCTCAGAGGCTCTCAAGGTGACATGCATGTAAGTGGGGGAACCCTACCCAGAGCCCTGGGAGGAGGGGTACTCAGGGTCGAGCCAGGAGAAGGGATCTGTCTACCAGAGAGGAAGTGGTTGGGGCAGGGAGAACAGTTGTGAGAGCAGAAAGGTGGTCCCCAAGCAGGGTCAGGAGGGGACATGCCCTGAGCCACACCGCCCTGGGGTGCAGCTGCTGCTGCTGCAGGGATGAAGACGGCTGGGAAACCCAGGCTCCTCAGTCTGCCCTCAAGGCTCACTGAGGACAGCCAGGTGGCCTGAGCGTCCATGTCAGTACTAGTTCTGGTGGCTCTGTCGGGACCCAACGCAGAATCCCAGGGTCTAAGGCCCAGTTCACCAGCTGTGTGGATCTAAGGCAGTGGTGTCTCTGCCCGAGGCTCTATTTTCTGCGAGGAGCCAGGATGAGACCAGAGCCCGCCTAACGCTGTTTTCAGGAGAAAATGAGAAACAGACGCATTGGGTTTTGCCCACTGGGGTGCCCTCTGATTCACATGACCATGTGTCCACATGGTAGTTATCACTGCTCTCTGAGACAAAGAGATCCTTGGGTGACATACTCAAAACCATCAGAGATGTCTAAGGTCCATCCCAAAAGGGACCTAAAACGGCTTGCACTGGGATGGGGTGGGGAACAAACCCACCCAAGGCCAGAAAAGGGGTGCCCATTTCAGGAGAGAAGCCAGGTGCCCCAACCCTCAGAGGTACAAGAAGGTAAGAATCAACCCAAAAAAGCTCCCTCCTTCTCCTCTGCCCTGCTCACAAGAGTAAATGACAAGGGTAACTTTTGTAATAGTAAAAACGACAATGACCTCAATGCCCATCAAGAGGGGAGGAGTTAAACTATATGATGAAATGATAGGAAAATGTTAAAAAGATGAGGTAGCTTGAATAATTATAAATATATACAAAACTGATAACCCGGTTGGCTCCAGAAAGGGGAAATTGTGACAGAAGAAAAACGGTAGAGGTGAATTTTATACTATATACCCCTGTAAAGATGAACTACATAAGCTACAAAACTTTTGGGCATTGTGGACCATGTGACTGTTATTAACGATTTAAAATACATAAGGGGCCGGCCGAATGGCTCAGTTGGTTAAGAGCTCGCTCAAGAGTGCGAGCTCTGAGCAACAGCAG